TTTTTTTTTTTAATGTCATAGGGGCGCACTTGCCCCGCTAACCGGGGCAAGTGCGTTTCCTATAGCTAAAACGAATCTGATAGCAAGCAGCGGCAAACCGGGGCAACTGCGCCTTACCCTAAATTTTACCTTTTTTCTCGATTTTGCAGAACATGGATATCTTTATTAGTTTCCGAGATATCAACCCAAACGTGAAAATGAAACAACACGCCAAATATTGTTTACATTTATTTTCAATGTAAATGAACATAATATAAGAAGACAAATGCTTTATTGTATGTCATACCCATCAAATGAGACTTGGAAAGAGATTTGGCCTCTTCTTTCGATGGTGGGAGGAGGCAACAGCATTATAATATCCGGGTCATCCACCTCAGAAATGTCATCTATATCCGGAAACTTAAAGACAGATTTTTTGTCTAAGATCTTTTTTTTCCTGGCAAATTTCACCATGTTGTTTCCTTGTAGTACTTGACCGACATAATACTTAATGGACTTCTTTCCAGCAAATTTCACGAGAATCCAATCACCCACAGCTTTTTCTGAAACTTGCCTGTCGGAATAAAATTGGTCCCTCTGTAACTGCTTCTCATTCTCCACAAACTGATCAAACGTCTCATATTCATCACTTTCATCATCATAAGTAATATTATTATCAGCAATATCAGCTTCGCTATCTGAGGAAACAACAGGCTCTTGTATCTTTTTCTTTTTTATTTTTTTGGTGTCACTTTCTTTTTCTTTTAAACGCTGGAAGACGTCTTCTCTCGTAATAATTTCGGCTCCTCCAGCTATTCTTTTTTTTGGTTTCTTTTCTAGCTCTTGTGCCGATGCCTTAGGTTTTAAAGTAGCCAGTAGAATTTCCTCAAATGGAACCTTAGCTTTCTCTTGAACTGTGCTTGTAGATGGTTGGGATTGATGTGCGGTGCTAGTTGATGGCTGGCATATATCTGGCTGTCCTGCGGTTGTGGAAAGATCAGTAGTGGTAGAATTATTAGGAGTTATATGGGTGGTGATGCCTTTATGTTCTTCCCATCTTTTCAGGGCTAACGGATCGAAACTGTGACGCTGAATAACATTTTTGTCATAAGGATATATCCCACCTTTTTTAAAACCATTTTGAATTATAGTAGGACTTGCATCATTCCATACTTCTTGAATTAGTGTAGAAAATGTTTGTTTAATAATTTTTTTACCAGGATGCTGTCTTTGCCAATGGACCAGCTTTGAATCCCATTTATCCTTCAATGATTTGAAAACTGCCAAATCCAATGGTTGTAAAAGGTGGCTGGAATGAGGAGGTAGTCTTAAAATCGTAACACCTTCTTTTATGGCTTCCTGTATTAAATTTATTCCCAGATGGGTTGAATGTCCATCGTAAATTAGAAGTATGGGACGTCTTTCCCCGAAGTCTTTTATCAAAACTTTTGTAAAATAATTTTCAAACACGTCTCTTTCCATCCATCCTTTTTTCGTTGCTGCATATACAAGTTTTGGGCCATCAGGAACTTCTGGAGCTGTCCATTGATCATAAACATCTTTACCTTTGAAAATTACTAATGCTGTACCTTTGTCGCCAGCTGCACTGCAAGCTAATAAAATGGAGGTATTTTCTCTACCTGGACCACTTGTTGTACGGGTACATGGAAATCCTATTTGACCCACTATTTTGGTTTTAGTTGGATCACTGCAGAAGCTACTTTCATCTAAATTCCAGATGTGGCTTGGTTTGTCTGCTAGATCAAGTTGATCAATTGTTGTCTTTAATAGGTCGAAATATTCGTAAATAACGAAAGGATCTAAACTCTTCTTTCTGGCAACCTCAACCATTTGTCGCTTCTTAATAGATAGCTTGTGTTTTTTACGAAAGTTTATAAACCAATCTGCACCTGGATATCCATCTTTGAATTGAGTTTTAAGTTTATTCTGCTTAACATTATGTGCGACATTTTCTAGAACTTCTGATCTTGACAGCCCGAAACCCCATTTTTCCATTGTTTTAAGTCCCTCGGCTATTTTCTTTTCTTCTTCGTAACCAATATCGGCACCTCTTCCGAATGTGTTGCTTTTCATACCCCTTCTGCCTTTGACGTGGTCTCTTAAAGTACTTCTCGGAATTTTATACAAACTACTGGCTCTTTTAAGACCCATTTTTCCCGTTGCAACATCATTGACAGCAGCAGTCAATTGTTCTTTCGAATAAGCCGTTCCTTTAGTCTTTTTTCGCTTATAGCTTCTCACCATCTTTTTCGCTGGAACAAATACAAATCTAAGTCCCATGAATTGAGTATTTGGGGCAAGAGCACCCCTATGGGTACGCACTTGCCTCTTCCTCACTTTTGTCCGGGGCAAGTGCGACCCCCTGGTTATTCTCGTAATAAATCAAATTACAAGCTACCTTTATTTTACACATCATAATTCAACACTTGCTTTCATTATAGAACTACCAAAACAGACAATAATATCAAATTGAATGATAATTACCTGATTCCAAAATTTTCTCTGCGAACCCGGTTTTTAGGTTATCTAAGCATGTATTGACGTTTGCAACAGTCAATGTCAGAAGGAATGTTGCAATGTTGCCAAAACGGTTTTGGTAGATGGGATTAGACATGTGCTAATCGAAAATTATTATTTGAGTATCGATTCACTCCAATCAACAAAGAAAATCCACAGAGTCGCACTTACCCCAAATGTGCACTTGCCCCAACTGACCTTATTTTTTAATTTAATTATGAAATTTTCTGGTAGGGCTTTCAACATTTGATTGGCAACTGTGTCTGGACTTGGAGCTTTTTTCTTGTTTTTATTTTTGATGTACGTGGTAATCTCTTCTATGGTGGTTGGCGGAATAGGGTGTTCGTTAATAATAAGGAATTTAGTTTGTTGTGCTCTTATATCAATTTCGTTTGCAAAGTCTGCATTAGGTAGTGGGTCTTCTTGGTTGGAAAATTGAGTGGCTAGTGAGTTGGCGAAGATTCCAGCTTTTTCTTGCTTTGTATACACCAATCCTCTGAATCCTTGAATTGGCGGGAAATTAACTTGTCTTTTGTTAGTTATTATGTTTTTGATTTTCCGAGGTGAGTTATCCTCTGGTACCAGGTTGCTAAGCAGTCCCATTGGGCATTTCTATGCTCATTTATTAGAAATTTAATCTGTTTAGTCATTTCTGATGCTTGTCTTTTGATAGTTGGCTATATGTCTTGGATCTTCTTCTTAGTCGATTTATTTCTTTAATTTGTGTCCTGGTGTTATAAGAGAGAGCGTATGGATTATTATTTCCTGTATTTATCTCAAGTTTGTTGGCCATGGCTGTTTGCGTGATATGCTGTGTAAAGTTTTCAATATGTAAATCTAGTTCATTATTGGTGAGGTCAGCTTCAGGAGGGAACGTGATTTGTTTCAAGTCTTTATATTTTGTCCAGTTTATAATGTTTATAACCAGTGGAGTATGTTTCTCCAATTTTAATGAGGATAGGATTATGATCCGAGCTAAGGTCGTCTACATTCTGTATTGTTATGTTCCTGTCTATATTTTTTGTTAGGGCGATATCAAGAATATCTGCGGTACCTTTGCAGAATTGTGTTGGTCCTTCTGGTGCGTGTATTGTTATTAGATGTCCTAGTGCATATTTGAGTAAGGTTGAGCCGCTGGCGTTGGAACGTCTGCAACCCCAGTTACTGTTTTTTGCGTTTAGATCGCCTGCAATTAGTGTTGGAATGTTTGAGTTAAATAGTTCATTTAATATGTTTACTGTTAGCATTTCACTGGGAGGTCTGTATACTGAAACTAATCTCAGTTTATTGTTATTCGCCAAATTAATGATTATGCTTATGTTTTCAACGTCTTCTGTGTTTGCTGGGGCCGCGTTACTGACCTAGGTTATTTTTTATGGCAATGGCGGTGCCTCCTCCTAGTCTGTTTGGCCTGTCAGCTCTGTATAAGTTGTAATTTGGTTAATTGAAATTTGTTTGTGGACGGAGGCATGTTTCCTGTAGTAGGATTACATCTATGTTATTGTCTTGGAGGAAGTTAATGAGTTCAATTTTTTTTGGGAAGACGGAATTTGCATTCCAGGAAGCAATTGTAATGTTTGATGGCTGAAGTTGTATATCCATTAGCACAGTGATTTTACTAATTGGTTATTTGCAATTTGTGCTGCTATGAAATTGAGTTTTTCTGTTATGTCCTTATTTGACATAGTTAGCAAAGATATAAGACTTGAATTTGATTGTGGTGGGCTGATAGTTGGTTGTTTAATGGTGTTTTTGGCTGTCTGAGCGTAGGAGACTTCGGCAGTCTTGAGGTTAAGATTTTCTTGATTCTTTGTTTTATTCACATAATTGATATAGTTAGGATTTTTTGGGCAATTAGAGTGATTGGCGGGTTGTGGGCCTCCACAGTTTATACATTTCAGAGTTGTTTTTTGATTATCATTGTTATTCGTTTTTTGAATGTGACAATTTGAATAACATGATTGCCAGCGCATTTATGACATTTCGATTTTGCTGCACAGTTGGTGGAAGCGTGGCTAAAAACTTGGCAGTTTGTGCATTGGATGATATGTTTTCTTTCTGGGTTTGTCTTCTGAGGTTCGAGTCTTACTGGCATGTAGCAGATGTGTGTGATAGTGTCGTAAATATGAGATTGATCTTGGGGAATTAGAATTTTTACCATACTACTTGGTCTCTTAAATGGTCTTAATCTGAACCAGTAACATTCTACTGGTTCAAATCCTTGGAATTGAAGGTCTTCTTTTATATCCTCTATTTTTATGCCTGTGGGAAGTCCTTTGATCATGACGTTCAGCAATCTATCCTCGTCTAATATGTAAGTGTGATATTCTATGTTATTTGTTTTTAGGTATCTAGTTATGTCTCTATGATCCTGAGATGTTTCTGGTATAATTTGGATTCCGTTCCTGTATACTTTTGGGTCTTTAAATTTGAATGACTCTTTAGCAAGATTGTCGTGAATTTGAACCCATTTTCCCGCATACTTCATTAGTGGTTGTTTCGTATTCTTCGTTGTCTTTTTGTTCAAGATAATTTTTCAGTCTTTGGTATGTGGTTTTGGGATAGTTTGGTCTGATACTTAGTTCTGGTTGGGCTGTCTCTAGTGGATTTCTATTTGAACTTTCTAGAGCAGGAAAGTCAGTAACTTCCATGTCTTCATCTTGAGTGGATTGTTTTGGTATTATGTTTTTTTTTTTGGTTTGTTGTGAAAAATTTCACCTTTTGTGGCGATTCATTGTAACCGTTATTGTGGTTAGCAGTTGAGGGGACTTGAGAGCTTAATGGGGTTTGTAGGCTAATTAATTTATTGATTTTTTTCATTAACTGTTGAATTGTGGCATTTGTCTTTTTATTTTCCTCTAAAAGGTTTTTATTGAGGTCAGAAAGAGTGTCAATTTGTTAGTTTTCATGTCTGAGGGCTTTAATAGTTTCTTTATAAGCTGGCTCTTTGCCAGAACGTGAAATTTTAGAGATAGTGTTTGGTGTTTGGGATTTAAGATAGGAAATAGTTTTGGGCTCACCTTTTAGTGGTTCTTGAACCATTTTGTCACTTTTTTTAACTTTCATTTGAAGCACTTTAATTTTAGGGGCTTCCTCTTCGCTCGCGGTGGGTCCGAGAACGACGGCGATGCTTTGTTAAGATTTCTAACGAAATTTCCATCTGTCTTCTCGGTTGGCATGGGTTTGAGAGACTTCCTCTTCGCTTTTTCTGAATTTTTTTCAAAAAATTGGAAAGACGTTCGCTACGGGTCCAAAGGCAGTGGCGTGGCGTACTGAATAGTGAAGAAGGATGCCAATTTGACTTGCACCTTTTATTCTGTAATTTTGAGGGTAGTAGGGAAACCAGTATATTGAGCATGAGGAAATGGCGGCATTCTGAAAAAATATATAGGTAGGTGAATCATAATAAAAAGAAATGAATCAAAATTCGTAGGTAAAGTGTTTTTGCTACAAATGTTTTTTGAAAATATTTATCATTTGTTAGGAGTTGAGTAGGTACCTTTATTTCCATCCGAAGACTGAATAATTTCCAGAATCAGATTATCTGCTGGTGACAGAATTTTCTGCCTAACTTCTAGAAGCTTCTGAAAAACGCTGTCGAACGCGTTAAATATTTTCTGGTGGCTATCAGGGTATCTTTTTTTAAAGTCGATGCCTCTAAGGGTGTGGCCAAGCGGATTTTGAATTATTGGAAATTCTGTGATAATTTCCACAATGGTTAGTTAGTTCCGTTTTTAGGAATGTTTGCCTATAATTGAAAGTATTTTCCCACTTTGCGAGAACCTCAGACCATGGGTCTTGGTTACTTTTCAGCCAAACCAAATTGTCCTGATCTTCAGTACCTGAAAAAAAATTTAAAAAAATTAGGTATATTTTTCACGGCAACCGTCCCCAGAAAAAAACCATTTCATAGATACATAATATAAAAATTATGTATACCTTCATTTTCAAACACAGAGTCATCATTGATTTGCATGTCCTCTGCCACAGCACTTTTTTGGTTGACTAATTTCCGGTAGATGTTAAATAAAACAAAAGAAAGAGAAAATCGGGTAATGACTATCAAGCAAATTGAATAAGCGCAGCGTACAAATTAAGGGCGCAACAGCAAGTGGCGAGTTAGGTGCGAGCAAACCCGCTAGCTAAATGGGTTGAGTCCGGTCGCCACCAATTTAACCGGTTAAATTGGAAACCTCTCAGGTGATGGGTAAACTCGCTGTCACGACCTGCAATTCCACGCGGTCACTGTGAATGAACAAATCAGCTGTTCAACTTGGAAAAATATGAAAATTTAACCTGAAGTAAATTGTAAATGATAATAAAAAAGTCAGTACCTCTAGCTAGTAATGATTAAAATGTTAACTCTAAAATCCTGGACAGTTAACTAAATAAAACAAAGTGATCCCTCTGATCAGACACAATTTATTTTATAACAAGTTTCATAAAAATATTAAAATTGGTCAAAATGGTCACAGTCAATATAAAAATAGGATAAAATCTAAATATCAACTAACCACTAAACCCTGGGCGTACGTGATCACGATGCCCTTCTTAGGCAAGTTGTTAAATCAGTTGAAACTTACTGAACGGATAAATTAAACACAATATTTATAAAAGACAAAAATTCTCAAAAAAAAGAAAGAAATAGGGAACCTTATTTGCTAAAATTATCTACTGATCTTCAGTTATGCCTGAAAGTTACAATGCTAGGCATTTATTTGGACGTCCTGTCGTACAGTCCAGAGCAAATTTAATATAAGGCTTGGTCCCAATACAAAAAAAGGTTCAGGAACTTAACCTTGGTTCAAAACAAAGGACCCAATCCGAACTGGGTGTAAAACTAGCCTGGTACTAGCACCCTAGAGAAAAAAGCATTCTCTAGTATTTCATATAATAAAAGGTTTAAAACAATAAATGAGCAAGAGGGAAAAATAAAAAAATAAAATATTTAAACAGAATTACTTAAAATCCAAACGACTCTAGAGTTCTCCGGAACGTAGCAGTGGCCAATGAACAAATTGAATTATATTAAATAACGCTCAAAGCGACAGCTCAAGAACTTGATACCTAGCATTACTAGGATCCAGAGTACCAGAACAAAATGTTCCTCCTCAATAAATAAGCTTATGTAACTTAAAAAGAACATGAGAAGAAAAAATAATTAATTTCTTTTACTACTAACTTGAGAATGAGATGAAAAGTTATTAAATAATTAATCAATACCTAACGTTGAAATGGTGTATTAAATTATGAATTCAGAATTAAACAAATTCAATAAACGAATTAACTAACCTCTGGCCATGAGGGTTCAAAACACAGGGAAGTTGAGGTATTTCCTTACAAATTGAGTAGCCAATAGCTCAAATGGGGCTCCAACTGAGTTTAATTTCCTCTTGCCTCACGCTCTCGGCTATTTTAATAGAAAACGACGCACGGTGTTGCACCTTATAGGGTAATTGGGACAAAATTCATGTTTTGAAAACAAACTTATATTAATTATTGCGACTATTTTTATTTATTTTGTTTATAAGAGAGCCAACTTTTGCTCCAAAAATGATTGCCAAATTTTCAACCCCCTAAGCGAGGGTGCCATCCCCCAAAATTTTTCAAATGGAAAGAGGGGTCAATTTATACCTTATTGAGAAGGTCTTTGATTTACCTAAATATTGGTCTATAGTTCTCCAAAATCGATAAGCCCCTATTGTAAATATAGAGGTTTGAAATACCAATAATTAGGAAAAAGATGCAAAATAAATTATATCAAGAAATTTGGCAGGTTTTTTAAACAAATTTTAAAAATACGTTGTTTTAGGGTAAAATCCATAGCGAAATCTTCAACATTCAAGTGGGGGTATCATCCCACAATTTCAAACCCCCCTATTTTCCTAAGGGGTTGATTAATTTTCAAAAACTAACCGCCATTGTATAGATTAATTAAAGTCCTCTTAATAAAATATTACTTGACCCCTATTTCCATTGGAAATAAATTGGGGGATGATACCCCCACTTAGAGGGTTAAAGAATTTGCTATGGTTTTTACCTTTAAAGTTGTCTCCCCGGTAATACTGTACAATTTGTGAACCTGAGTAGAATTATTTATTTTTGTGTACAATTACTTCCTATTTAGTACAATTGGTTATTTTGTTTTCACAACCCTTTTTTTTTTTTTTTTTTTGACGCCTATGTCGTCTGTCAATTGTGTCCAAATTTCTGATTTTGAGAGACACATATGATTTTGTTAGCACGTTGTTTTTTTGCAATTAAAAAATGATACCTTTGACAAAAAAGGAATCCAAAAACATCCAGACTTTTATTTCACAAATTAATTAAAAAAGTCGAGTAACAATCAAAAAGAAAGATTACCAGCCGATTTCCATCCATTATTTTTGGTCCTTCGAGCCGGGTGATTCAAGACAAGAAAAAACAGGTTTCCATGCTCCATTCCTAATTAATATCCTAGTATTTATTTCTATTATTATTTATTTTCTATTTTAACTATTTTCAAGTGTCTATTTTTCTATTTCCAGTTTTCTATTATTAAAGGTTGGTCTAGTGATTTCTGTTTCTGCTTTCAATTGAATTGCCGGTGTGTTGATTTCTGCATTTGTTTGTTAATTGAAAAACAATAAAATGAGTGATAACAAAGGGGATCTGGTACCAGAAAATGGGGATTCTCTCAAAAAACTTATTAGAAATAGAGGGTCACTCAAACAAAAGGTTTCTTATTTAGAAAAATATATTGATAAAATTAAGACGAGCATTCCTGATAATAAACCTTCTATTTATGATGTAGAGTTAAGTCATAAAGATAGTTCAAACCTATTACAAAATTTTGAGAACATTCAAGACAGTATTGAAAGTTTATGCGACGAAAATGAGCTCCCCTTGCACTATCAGGAAAGGGGGGAATTCCAAGAACGATTTTATAAGTGCCAAGATTTTTTAAATCAGTATCTTTATCACAATACACCTAAACCTACTTCCATTCCTGTTGTCAATGTTAATCAGCTTCCTAGTACAAGCCCAGTGGTGTCGGATGATTTTTTGCAGAATGTGTTGCTGCCAAAAATTAAGTTACCTACATTTTCAGGCAACTTTGACCAGTGGCTCAATTTTAAGCTGAACTTCACAAATATTATAAGCAATAATGTCAGTTTGAGTGAAATTCAAAAATTTCAATTTTTAATAGCTTCATTGGAGGGTTATGCCGCTAGATTTTTAGAGGACCTTGAAAGTGTAGATAAACCTCACGAGCAGGCATGGACTATATTATGTGAAAAATTTGATAAGCAACAATTTTTACTGGATACTCATTTCCAAAAACTATTAAATATTCAGCAGGTGGGCAAGGAGAATTTTAAGCAATTTAGTCATATTTTGGATGAAATCACACAGCATTTGGTCGCTATTAGAGGTATGAAACTTAGTGCGGGAACACTATTTGATTCCCTTGTGATTTATCTTTTATCCAACAAGGTTGATAAATCCAGTTTGCGAGAGTGGAAAGAACATGAATATGAGGAAGATGTTCCAAGCTTGGATGAATTTTTGGAATTTTTGAAAAACAAAGTTGCTCTCTTACAGTCTCTAGAACAATCAAGCTCATCACATTCAAGTAATAAACCTAAAAATAATTATCCAAGTCATTATAATTCTCATGTAAACCACTTTTCCCCCAATAGTCCAGGTACCTACGCCATTAAATGCAATTTTTGTCAAGAAAACTATTCAATATACAAGTGCTCACAATTTTTAGGTTTATCTATTAATGACCGATTATCCAATGTTAGGAGACTTAATTTGTGTGAAAATTGTTTGCGCACTGGACATGTCTCTGATAGATGCTTTTTGCCTCCATGTAAACTATGTAAATCCAATAACAAAACTTTGAAGCATAATACTCTATTACATTTTTTTGCCCAAAGAGAACAACATTTCCAAGGAATTGCAACCAAATTTTAATATGATGATTAGACCAAGCTATAGTTCACAGTCCCAAGTGTTGTTGTCTACAATTAAGTGTCAAGTATTAGATGCACAAG